GGGATGATGGGGGTGCAGTGGTGGGCCGGCGCCAGCTCCCCCAGGACTGCCTCTGGATGTCCACATGGTCTCGTTATCTGCCACGCAGGTTCTCGGTCAACAAGCGTATCTTCGTGGTGGGATTTGGGCTGTACGGATCCATCCATGGGCCTACCGACTACCAAGTGAACATCCAGGTACCAGCCTCAGGCCTGGCCCCACAGCCCCAGGCCCCACTCCCCTCCATGTCCTCCCCCATCCTCCGTGGAACCCTGGCCAACCCCCAGCCCTGGTCCCTGCGCTGCCCACCCCAGGCAGGTGGGCTGGGCCTTGTGGGGTCCCTGCCGGCGCTCCCAGGCCTGAGCCTCCCCGTCCCCCAGATCATCCACACGGACAGCAACACTGTCCTGGGCCAGAACGACACGGGCTTCAGCTGCGACGGCTCGGCCAGCACCTTCCGAGTCATGTTTAAGGAGCCGGTGGAAGTGCTGCCCAACGTGAACTACACGGCCTGCGCCACGCTCAAGGTGTGCCTCGGGGTGGGGCACAGCAGACGCCCTCCAGAGGCAGCTGCCCTGGCCTAGTTGGGGCCTTGCCCTGTCCACATCTGGGGCAGCCCAGCTGGGTGGTCCTTGAGCTCAGTGTACCCCTACCCCCCACAGGGCCCGGACTCCCACTACGGCACCAAAGGCCTGCGTAAGGTGACACACGAGTCGCCCACCACGGGCGCCAAGACATGCTTCACCTTCTGCTACGCGGCCGGGAACAACAACGGGACGTCCGTGGAGGACGGCCAGATCCCCGAGGTCATCTTCTACACCTAGGCCGCCCACACGGTCCTTCCTCCACGGGGACAGCTTCGGCCCCAGGCCCTCAGCCGCTGCTGGGCCACCCTGCGTGGGGCAGAGCCCCGTGTCCCCCCAGCCACTGTCCACTCCACGCCACCTTTCTCAGCATCAGGAAGGGGCTTCCCTGTGTTCACCACAATGAGTGCAGCTGCTGGTTCAGGGCAGCCGGGGAGGCGGCGGGGCCAGTGGCCAGGCCCTGTGGAGACAATCCCTCAGGACTGGGGACAGGGCCGGCCTGGGCCAGGCCCCACGGGCCTGCAGCTCAGGGCACCTGCCCAAGTCGCCTGACCGCGCTGTGCGGCAGGCCTTCCCCGATTCCCTTCACTGCACATTACAATGCATCTGCGATTCCCGTTTCCCTGCTGGGGGCCGGCCTGGGTGGCGCCGCTCCTACAGCCACAGGTTCCAGACCTGGCATTCATTTTGTTCCTCTCTGTTCCTCGGGACACTGGGGCCCCACCTGTCCATGCGCCCAGGGCCACCCGACCCCAGCCTGCAGGGCGATGCCACTGCCTGGAGCTGGCCTGAGTTCTGAGAGGCTTCAGGGTGGGGTGGCCCCTGCCGGCTGAGCCCTGGCCCAGGTGGGCAGTAGTTTGCGGCTCCCATCCTCATCCACCTGATGGGCGCAGCCCAGGGCCACCTGTGTCCAGCCTCCCTGGACAGGGCCCCAAGCGGGACCCAGACCCTGTGCCCCAGAGCTCCCCTGCTGCAGGATGGGGCCCTGGCCGGCCCCACTGTGTCCAGAGCCACTGCTCGCCTGTACATACCATTGCCCCAACCTGCCAGGTGCCGAGGGAGCCCCCCCAGGTGCTGGGGACACGCTCTCCCCGCCCCAGGCCATGCCCCCACAAACCCCTGCGTGTTTCTGCCCTGTGACTCCTGGAACCTGCCTCCTCCCCAAAGCCATGGGGGGGTGGGTGTCCTCAGACCACGTCCCCAGATGATTTTTTTAAATAAAGAAACAAACGCACCTGGCCTGTGTGCATGCTGCTTGGCTCCCCTTCACTCTCCGGCCTGCCGTGGGGGCCACAGTGGGCTGAGGACGTCCTGAGCCCCGAGTCTGGTCTGCCAGTGCCGTGAGACCCCCCTCCTTAACCCACAGGTAAGCCCGGGAGATCGACAATGTGGTGACAGCACCACTGCCCTCCCACCTGGGCAACAGCAAGACCCTGACTCAGCACTCCCCCGCCCCAAACCCAAACAGTGGAAGTTGGTGGGGAGGTCCTGCTGGCTGCTGCGGACCACGGACATGAGGGATGGAGAGGAAGCAGGGAGTGCCAGTTCTGGCCTTGATGGCACCAACATAAAGACCCATGCTATCAGCTGCATCCTCAGGTGCACACGTGCAGGGCAAGACATCAGGAAACCTCACAGCAAGGCCATGCACGGCAGCTGACACCTGTAAACCCCAGCTCTTTGGGAGGCTGAGGAAGGCGGATCACCTGAGGTCAGGAGTTCAAGACCAGCCTGACCAACACAGTGAAATCCCGTCTCTACTAAAGATACAAAAATTAGCCAGGCATGGTGGCACATGCCTATAATCCCAGCTACTTAGGAGGCTGAGGCAGGAGAATCACTTGAACCTGAGAGGTGGAAGTTGCAGTGAGCCGAGATTGTGCCACTGAACTCCAGCCAGAGCGACAGACCAAGATTCTGTAAAAAAACAACAAAAAAACCCCCAGCAAACAGTAGCTCCCGAAGACTGAGCGGTTTGCACCGCCTGTGGTGCCGGGAGCAGGCCGTAGAGATGGAGCCCTGTGGAGGCGGGGGCCTTGAACACCTGGGGCCGGGCATGGTGGCTCACACGGGCAACTCCAGCACTTTTCGGGCTTGAGGCAGGACTGCTTGGGGCCAGGAGTTCAAGACCAGCCTGGGCAACACAGCGAGACCTCATCTCTACAAAAACACATTGAAAGGAAACACCCCGGGTTCCTAATTAAGACACCAGCAGGGCCACACACCAGCAGCTAGGGCAGCGCCCCTGGGGAGGACAGAGCTGAAGCAAGCCCTCGACCACTCCACAGACAAAACTCTGCTAGGGTCACTGTGGGCTGCTGCTACTCTGGCCCTGGCCCAAAGAACACACAGCCCTGTGAAGACCACACCCGCATGAGCTCCCACCACCTGTCATTCACAACATCCAGCATCCATTCCAAACTTACAGGCCGGGCGCGGTGGCTCACACCTGTCATCCCAGCACTTCGGGAGAACAAGGTGGGCAGATCATGAGGTCAGAAGATCGACACCATCCTGGCCAATACGGCGAAACCCTGTCTCTACAAAAAAATAGAAAAATGAGCCAGGCGTGGTGGCGGGCGCCTGTAGTCCCAGCTACTCAGGAGGCTGAGGCAGGAGAATCGTTGGAATGGGGGAGGCGGGGCAGTGTGCCGAGATCGTACCCCTGCTCTCTAGCCTGGGCAACAAGAGCGAAACTCCGTCTAAAACAAAAGAAAAATACCCAAGGTGAAGCACAAGTGAAAACAATGGAAAAACAGAACAGAATGATGTGATCAAGTCAAAGGGTATAGCGTATGTGTAAACAC